CCGGAGGCCACCTTTTACCTAGAATAACAGGTTGGCTCATTAAACAAAAGATACAATTCATGAGTATTGCACATCTTAAAAAAAAAAAAATCTACATGAGACCAAATGGGCAACCACTGCTCTGCACCAAGATAGAAAGGGAAAGGAAGAGAGCAAGAGAAATCAGATGCCTGGGAATGAAATGAACCAGAGCAGGATGAATGAGATTGTGGACACGTTATGAAAAACATAACCAGTCACTAGTTAATTTGTGTACTAATTGTTAAATGGGAACCTAATTGGCTGTGTAAATGTTCATGGAAAATGCAATAAAATATTTTAAAAAAATCAGATATTATTTGCCCAGATTTCTTTTTCTTTCTCTCTCTCTCTCTTTGTTTTTATTAAGATTGCCTTCCTCTATTTTAAGGATCTGAATAGCAAATCTTCCTGCTAATGGAGCCTCACTGCCAGTGCGCCCATTGACCCTACAAGACAGAGTGGAACTGCTCCTACGGGTTTCTGGGACTGCACATCTTTATGGTACTAGAAATAGCTCTCTTTTTCCCAAGGAGCTATGAGTGGTTTAGAACTGCTGACCTAGTTCTTAGCAGCTCAACACACAACCCACATTCAAAAGAGTTTCCTGTGTGGGAGGTATTACTTAAGAGATATTGAGTTTCTATTCACCAAAAGCCAAACCAAACCAAATCCAGTGCTATCTGGTTAATCCTGACTCTTAGTGACTCTAGAGGATAGAGGAGAAACTCAGAAACTTTCTGAGACCATAATTCCTGATGAGAAGAGGCAACCTCTTCTTTCTCCTGTGGAAACTTTCACATTAAAAAAAAACCAAACCCATCAATTGTTATCTGCCCGTCCAGCGTGTGCTCTCTGCACTGCCTTTTAGCAGCAGAACAGGAGTGGTCCCTCAGCTGTGGGGACAAAGTGGCAGCTTGAGTCTCTGCACACTCCCCTTTCCTGTCTCTTTGGAGCTCTGCTTCACCCTCTCAATCTCCTGTTCGCTCTTGTTCCTTCCCTTTCTTGGCCTCCCTCTCTATACTCTAGACCCTTATCTGTCTCTTGGCTTGACCCCAATCTCTGGGTTTCTTTACATTTCACCTCTAGCTCGAACCATGTTTCCCCTCCACAATACCAAGTCTTTAAAAGAACAAACACATCCGTCTTGGGAGAAGTACAACTGGACGCTCCTGAGGGCAAGGAGCGAGACTCCGCTTTACATACTTGGGACATGCTGTCAGGAGAAACCGGTCCCTGGAGAAGGACGTCATGCGTGGTGAAGTGGGGGGTTGCTGAAAAAGGGGAAGGCCCTCCAGGAGATGGCCTGACACCGCGGCTTCCTTGAGGAGCTCAGACATAAGAACACTGGTGAGGCTGACACAGGACTGGGCAGTGTTTCGTTCTATGGCACACACGGGGTGCGATGAGTTGGATCCAACTCCGCAGCAGCCACACAGCAAGAAGTCTTTACCATCTGTGCTTTTCCTCTTCTGCCAATGGGAACCAGTTGCTGTTGAGTTGATCCCAATGGCTGGTGATTGTCTGTGTGCAGAACCGTGCTTCATCCTTTTCCCGGAACTAATGACCAAGCCTTTCCTCGGAGGTGCCCCCGGAGACTTCATTTTACACTTCAAAAGTCACTCACTGCCACCGAGCCCATTCCAACGCCTAGTGATCCTGTAGGACAGGGTAGAACTGCCCCGGTGGGTTCCCAAGGCTGTAACTGTTGACGGGAGTAGAAAGCCTCATCTTTTCCCTGAGGAGCAGCGGGTGGCTTTCAACTGCTAACCTTCTGGTTATCCACCCAACGGGTAACCACGCTGCCGTGCCACGAGGGTTGTTCGTTGACTGCGGTCAAGCTGGGGCCAATTCATAGCATCCCCTTGTGGTACAGAGTAGAACTGCTCCCTAGGGTTTTCTTTGCAGTAATCTACAAATGGTTAGCACACTGGACCGTTAACCAAAAGGTTGGAGGTTCAACTCCACACAGAGCTCCCATGGCCTGGTGCTCTGCTTCTGAAACATCACCTGATTAACCACAGGCGTGTCAACCCTAGGAAACACAGGTCTACTCTGACACATATGCAGTTGCCATGAGATGGAATCAACAGAACATTAAAAAAAAATTCTTTCTCTGTGAGGTCACCAGGGACTGGCTGTGTCCCTGAACCCCAGATTGTACCTTCTTCCAGGCTGCTCCCATTCCTTTCTCGTTCAGGACTAGGGGTGGTCATAACTCTCCACTGTTGCCCACCCTGGGGTGCTGTTGCACCTCTTCTTGGTTTCCTTATACCCACCTGCTTTGTAGGCAAGTCCTTTATTAAATTCACTTCCAGGGATCCCGTGTGAAGCTGCCATCTTCTTTCCCCCAGGATCTTGAGTGAACCAAGTGTGAGCCACCTGAGAAACAGCCGAATCCCCAGACAGGAAGTAGGGTTCAGACAGCAGTAGGGTATACTCTTTTTTTGGGTTCCTTGATTTTATTTATTTTTAATTAAAACAATTGGGAGTTAATACATCTATCATGCCATAGTTCAATCACATCAGGCAATATTGCATCATTGCTACCACAACCAGTATCCAAAATTCTTTTCCTCCCTGGATTCCTCAATATCATCTCCTTTTGATTCTCCTAACCCCCCATTATACTCTGCACCCCACCCCCAATCCTTATTCTACTTGCTGTCCCTATAGGTTAATCAATCCTGGCTTCCATCTACCAGAAAACAGGACAACTTACAACACAAATTCAAGAGGGTGCCCCCCAACCACATAACACCTCTGAGATAAACCCTACTGGAAGCCGTTCACCAGGTCTTGACCCTTACACTCAAAAACTCAAAGTCACAGCCAGGGAAACGATTCTGACTCATAGCGACCGACTCTGCAGGGCAGGGTAGAATTGCCCCTGTGAGTTCCCTGAGACGGTCCCTGTTGAGTAGGACACCCCATCGTCATTGTCCCTCGGAGCGGCTGATGGTTTCAAACTGCTGACCTTGCAGCCCACTGCATAACCACTATGCCATGGGGCTCCTTGGACACATAGAGCATGTCTTCATTGGGATGTTAAATTTTCTTGGGAAAGATTTGCTCTTCATAAAACTTATCATTGAAAACATTGACTCACAGACACGAGTTGTTCCGAATGTACAAAAGCGCTTCCCGATAAGCAAATCCCAGTAGACACTTTTGTGTGAAACTTCATTCATGTTCAATTTTGAGCTAGTTGCTTAGCCATGTTTCACAGTAGCTGATGATTCATTGGAGGTGGCTACCATGTGGGACTGCACAGCCCCAACGTGCTGTGTGACCTTGGTTAAAATGCTCAACATCTCTGTGCTTCACTTTCTGCATCTCTAACGAGGGGACCCCAGCAGGTCCTATTTCAAAGGACAAGGATAAAGTGGGATGTTCTATGTAAAGCCCTCACGTGTCTCCTCAGTGAGTCTCAGGCTGGAGAGAGATCCTGAACTTGGCCCTCATCACACGGCACAGAGAACCAGGTCCTGGGGTCAGAAAAGTCCACGGTGGCATCTCTCCAAGGCGAGGAAAGGACAAACTCCTCCCTCTCAAGGGACTGAGATCACAGGTCCCCTCCTCCTAGGGTCAAAGTAGTACAATGATGGGGTGAGTCAGCTAGCTGCCAGGTTCAGGGTCCTGCATCCAACAAGTCTTGTAAGAAAAAGCCTGCTGGCCTCCTCCCTGCTCTCTTTTAAGAGCAGGGACAATTGGAGGCCAAGACAGGCCAACACGGACACACTCATTCACAAGTCCACATGGATGGGCTTGGACTGACCCCTGCCAGGAACTGGCCAGGTGCCATATCAGAGTGATGATGGGGCCAGACCCAAGCCCAGTGGACAATCAAGTGAATAGGACTCAGTCCTTGCACCCCTGGAGCTCAGACACTGAGACGGCGAGAAGGAGCGAGTGATAGCAAGTCACACACACACACGCAGGCCCACATACAGGGACATACAGCATTACCATTATGTACATACAAACACACCTGCCCATATAAAACCAGGCAAGTGTATATAAGCAGGCACACAGACACAAGTAGGCACACACACACACACACACACACACACACACACACACAAGCACCTCTAGGTTTGCCCTCAGAAAGTCACACGGCCATCCAAATGCAGGCACACCTTTCCATCTACAACTATGAAATATATGTGAGTCCAGTCCACAGACTATACAAGAGCACACGTGCAAGCGTGCTCAGACTCCACACAGAAGCAGACATCTTCATGTTTGCAATAAATACCACCATCGTCTTCCTCCTCTCCCCACCCCACACCTTTTTTTTGGGGTTTGGGATAAACTTGTTCATTGCTAAAGACTCCAAGTCCATTTCAATGTTACTTTCCCTCCTCTTTAAACCAATGAACCAACCACGCAACCATTCAAACCACTCTTTAGGTCTGAGGAATAAGGATTCTGGAGGGATTAAAAAAAAAGAAATATACTATATAGAGAGATTACATAGCCCATGTCAAGAAATGAAATAAACAATAATATCCTGTTAACTCCTCCATGTTTTTGGTCCCCATTCCCCCCGCACCGATATCCCTTCACATACAAAAATCCTACGATCACAGAGAGGCAAGTGAACATGGAACAGCGCATACATATCAGACAGGCGGGGAGGTGTATGCTCATCTCTATCATAAAAAAACAACAAACAACCAAATGAAACAAAACAAAAACCACCAGCACCAAACCCAATGACAACACACGCCCACTTCTACAAGAACCTCAGGCCTGCCTCAGGGGCCCTGCCAGCACGAGGGAGGGGTGAAGGAGGAGGGAAGGAGCAGGTTGCTGGGCCTCCAGAGGAGGAAGTATGATCCCTTAGCATCTCTTCTAAGGGCACACTCATGGACAGTGATGCAAGGGGAGGCGGGACTGATGGGGTTACATAACCGAGGGAGGAGGCAGGTTCAGATAAAAGTCCCAGCTCCAGCCTGCGGTGCTGCGCTGGCGTGGAAGACACTCAGCCTTGAGCCATGGAGCTCAGCATCCTCCTCCTCCTCGCTGTCTTCACAGGACTCTTACTTCTCCTGGCCAGGGGCCACCCAAAGACCCACAGCCGCCTCCCTCCAGGTCCCCGTCCTCTGCCTTTCTTGGGGAACCTTCTGCAGATGGACAGAAGAGGTCTACTCAAATCCTTCCTGAGGGTGAGAGCCTGAGGGGCGGGGTCAGGGGGCGGCTGGTCCCTACCTTGGTACTTGGGGATCACTCAAGGATCCCTAAGAGAGTCGGGTATCCCGGTTCAGGGATGGAGCGCATCCCTGGGTCGGTAGGTCAGGTGCATGGAGCTGAAGCCTGGTGGATTGTGGTCAGGTTGTCCCAATCCTTCCTGCTCCATTGAAAGGACACAGGCATTGTCCTTGGAGGGGACAGATGGCTATGAAGAGGTGTCTGGGTATGGGGCACAGGTGTAGAATTCTACTCTTCCCAGCTTCCCTTGATAGTCCCTGGATGCCTGCCCACCACTAGCAGAGAGAAAAAGAGGCGGAGGCACTAAACACTGGCTGGAGTCCAAGCCAGGGCAGTGGCGGAGAGGGAGGGAGAGCGGCAAGGGCAGGGAAGGATTCTGGGAGACTTGGAATGGACTCCTCATCAATGAGGTCCTTCTCCAAACTCACTGCCATCAAGTCGATGCCCGACTCAATGTGACCCCATGGAGCAGGATGGAACTGCCCCCTGTGAGCTTCTGCGATGGTAACCATTGACCGAGTAGGAAACCTCATCTTCCTCCTGTGGAGCAGCTGGTGGTTTTGATCTCTGGACCCTGTGGATCTGAGCCCAGTGCATAACCACTGTAACACCAGGGCTCCAGTAAGGAATTTAATGCGCTAGAAGAGTGGCTGCCATGTGTAGGTCATTTAGTCGGCTCACAATCACGGCTTTCTAGGCATGATTGCATTTTAATAATTTATCTATTTACCAACAATGCAATTGACTCATGCAGACCCATCCTTCCATGACTTGAGAACAACTTGAAGTGCTTTGTGTCCCTCTGACCGCTTCCACTTTCCTGAATTTTGGACCCATCAACCCTCTATTTAAAAAAAAAATTTAATTCTTTAAATGTTTGGCACAATTACCCAGTGAAGTCATTTGACCCTGGACTCTTCTTCATTGGGAGGTTTTGGGTTACTGGTTTGATGTTTTCACTTGTTGCAGGTCTAGTGAGAGTTTCTATCTCTTCTTGAATCAATTTAGGTCATTTGTGTGTTTCTAGGAGTTGGTCCCTTTCACCTAGTTGACATACTTGTTGGTTGACAGCTTTTGCAGTATTTGCTCATAAACCCTTCTATTTCTGTAGGGCCTGTAGTAATGCCCCCACCTTTGTTTCTGATGTTAGGTTATTTGCATCTTCTCTCTTTCTCCTTTGAACTTGTTGGTCTAGCTAAACGTTGTCCATACTGTCGATGTTTTCAGAGAACACACTTTGGCTTTGCTGTTTTTCTCTATGGTTTCTTTTTACCTCTCGATTTCCCTTCTCTATTTCCTCCATCTCTAGTCTAATCTTCATTGTTTTCTTCCCCCGTTTGCTTTTTGGAGAGAATGCTTTACCAGAGAGGTGGGTGTTTCAAGGGCCTGTTATTTAGAGTCAGTCCCTTTAGATGTATCAAAAGAGTGTTCTACTGCCATCTGGCCTCTTGCGTTTAGTCTTTCGCTCAGAATTGTGTGGCTCGGACTGATTTGTATGTTGTCAGTTCACCAGACCTTACTGACAATGACCCTGTGGGCTAGGTGAGGAATGATCCGCAGGTTAGCGGTAAGGGCGCACAACTGTATACATAGCTGGTGGATCTTAGGACCCGTTAGAGAGATCTGTATCTCCCGTGTCCTTCTCTCCATCTCCAGTGATTAAAGATGTTTAAACGTTTTGGCATAAATAAATCCTTCAAGCATTTTATTAAAGCTGGTCATCCTCCTCAAAATGTGCACACATTTGTGCATATAATTTAGGGGGGTCATAGACTGCAGAGGGTCTTCCAAGGACCCTCTAGATCCCCACAAGACTTCATTATCAGTATCTTTCAGGAGAAAGAGAGGGGGGGGAGGGAGGGGGGAAAGAGAGAGAGATCGTAAAGTGAAGCGATGAAGGCAGCACTACCCTCCCTCCGTTCCCTGATTCCTAACAGATTCCCAGTCCTAAACCCTTTTAGACTGGGCGGCATAGACTCCGCTTTCAGATTCAACTACGGAGTCTCAGTTTCCCCCTTTTGATTTTGGGCTGATGACACGAAGCATGTGTGCCTCACAAAGTTACTGTGCAGTTAAACTGCGGAGTGTGTAGAGCCTGGTGTACAGTACCCCCAAATATCCCACTGACATCGAGGTGAGTCTGACTCATAGTGACCCTACACAGGGCTCCCAAGACTGTAACTCTTTAAGAGAGCAGCCGGCCTCTTTCTCTTCCTCAGAGCAGCTGGTGGATTTGAGCCATCGATCTTTCAGTTAGCAGTCCAAAGCTTATCCCAGAACACCACCAGGGCTCCTTGGAGCTTATTAGATGAACTCGCTTTTGATCCACCCCGGTATTTACTTGATACTTCTTTTCTGCGCACCATCTGTGTGCCAGGAAATATTCTTGGCATTGATTGCACAGCTTGGGATAAGGCATATGCTTTTGTTATGCTCACGCGCATACTGGAAAGACATAAAAAATAAATAAGCAAGTCAGGAAATATCTGATAAGAACTGTGATGAGCATAAAATGGGGTGATCTTCTAGAAGGGAGTGAGAAACTTGAGTCACCAGGGAAAGACAGACAGACAGACTCAACCTTGCTGTGCTCCTGAGACCTTGTCCTGGACCCCAGCGCAAGGCGGGGTCATTGCAGGACCCCTGAATCGGGAACCAGCCCCGCATGTCAGGAGAAACAACCGAGGTTGTTTTTCAAGTCAGAGAGCGGGGAGGAGAGGGAAAAGTCAGTGGGATTATGGGGCCAGGCCATGTGGGGTCCTGAGCACCACAACAAAGACCTCAGATGTTGTTTTAAGGATGTAGAAGCATTGGAAGGAATAGGGTATGCTAGGGATAGGAGCGAATTGATATTTCAGTAGGATTACTCTGGCCTCAAAGAGTGAGATGACTGTAGCGAAGTCAGGGAGACCATAGAGGAGGGTCGGCAGAGAGCCAGGTGAGAGATTTTGAAGTTGATGGAACTCTATTTCTGATTTTAAGTACATTTTCATTGGAGTTTGACATCATCTCAAACGTGGCACAGCTCTACCATGCACAGCTCAACAGATATTCACACCCATGATATTGGCATGTAGAGCAAGCCTGCTCATTCCTTCCCATCATTACCCTCTACACTATCCTGAATCCTAGGTTCGTTTTGCCTCTTTCTGAACTTGGTATAAATAGAACAAGTTGCATCTTAAGTGTTTCCACTCAGCATTATGTCCGTGATTTGTCTTTGTTTTCAGCGATAGTTTGTTCTTTTTTCTTTGCTGTATAGTATTCCCTTGCATAGGTATATTATGATGCATTGATTCCTTACCTATGTCGATGAGCATTTTAATAATAAGGCTCCCATGACTGTCCTTATTCATTAAAAATAACATTTTTATTGACATAGTGACATATAGTTCACATACTATACACTAGTTTAAGCATATTGAAAAGGGTTATCCAATCATCACTGTTAAAATTTTTAGAACAGTTTCTTCTTATTTGTATTGGTTATTCACTCCCCATTTCCCCCCAAGTACATGGAAGTAGTAATCCAGTTACTGTCTCTATAGACTTAACTATCCTGGATTTTGTATACAGCACGACATCCAGTAAAAAGGAAAACAAACAAAGACCCAAACTCCAAACTCATTACCACTAAGAAAATAAAACATATAAGAACTTCAGTTGAAAAGTGTATATCTAAACATTCTGAGGCATTGCCAACTATTTCCAAGAAATAGTTTTACAGTAAATTACTTACACAGCATCAATGGAAAAGAGTTCCAATTTCTCCACATTTTTTGCCAACACTTGTTATTGTCTGTGTTCTTTCTTAGTAGTGATGAACTGCTAGCTCATCGTAGTTTTTTCCTCACACATCACACAATTTAATTAATCATATTAAGATAATTTGTGCAATCATCACAATCTATTTCAGAACGTTTTCTTCTCATACTCATTGCTGTTAGCTCCTCATCCTCTCCTGCCATGTCCCTATCCAGTTACTGTCTCTGTAGATCTACCTGTCCTGGCTATTTTTGGGGTGAGCGCATGTACACATTTCCAGTGGGGATGCATCTAGGCAGGAAACGGGGGAATTACTGAGTATGCACCAAAGTGCTTGGCTTCAGTAGAAATGATCAAGCAGTTTCCCCATTGGCCCTGCCGATATATTTTCTATTTCACGATCCTGACCGGAGGGCTGTGACTCTCTCCTGTCGTCTTCACAGTGGGCGCTTCAGGGTTGTCTCCTTGGGAATTGTCAGCAGCAGGTTGAGTTGCAGGAAAGATAGATGTGGTGATTTCGCGATGCCAGGAAGGTACGGTGAGGCTCAAGGCTATGGGTGGGTGATATCAGAAATATTTCAAAGTACTTCACCACCTGTATTTCTCCAGGCATCAACCAACCACAGCTGACCTTGGCTGCACCCAAGGCTAACCCTTTAGTTACTGGGTGCTGAGATGTGGGAGGAGCAGCCCAGGGCGGAGTATCATGAGTAGTGACTAATTACCAACACGTGTTTGCTGGGTTAGGAGTCCCAGGGGTCATAAAAACAGTCTTGGTTACTAACTGGAAGGTTGGAGGTTTGAGTCCACGGGGCCATGTTACAGAGTCAGAATCAACTATTATTTATTGTTGAGATTACCCTGTTTGCCAATTTAGACTCCAAATCCATTTCGTTCTTATTTTTTCTCTTCTTTTTTTTAAAAAGTCACTCAAACCACTATTTAGATTTGACAGATAAGGAATCTGGAAAGACTTCTTTAGAAAAAAGAAACATTATATATCTATATTGTATATATGAACATACTATATATGTATTTATATATATAAACATTATATATATATATTAAAGAGCTGGTCTCATGAAATAAAATAAATGACACTATCCTGCTAAACCCTCCATTTTTTGCCCCTGCTCCCCAATTCCCTCTTATCTTCCTGTTCCCACCCTGCCCCTGGCCTCCTCAAAGTCTTGCCTATTGGTGTACAAACCTCTGTTTCCCTTATAGCAATGGGGATAGTAAATATTCTTCCTTGTAATATAGGTATGATCTTGCAACTGTGTGTTTTTAATGGCTACAGAGGGGCACACCGACTCATTCGCTGTCTTGGGTGGGGCTTTGCTCACAGTTCCGAGAGAAGTACGGGGATGTGTTCACCGTGTACCTGGGGCCCAGGCCGGTGGTCATGCTGTGTGGGACGGAGGCCATACGGGAAGCCCTGGTGGACCAAGCTGACGCCTTCGCTGGCCGTGGGAAAATTGCTACCGTTGAGAAAACTTTCCAAGGATATGGTAAGAGCCTGAAAGCGGCAGGATCTCAGACTCGCACTCACTGCCACAGAGTCGATTCCGACTCGTAGCATCCCTGTAGGACAGAACAGAAGGGCCCTTGTGGGTTTCTGAGGCTGGACCGCTTCACGGAGGCAGAACTGCAGACTCCTCTCGGGGCACGAGAGAGGATGGGCTTGGGAGGATAAAGGGGGTCAAGGAAGACACGGGGTGTAGAGAGGGGCTCGGTGTCTCCTTCCAACCCCCTCTGCAACCTGTGCTTCTCCACCCCCCCCCCCAATCCCCCACCTCTCCCCAGGTGTCATTTTTGCCAACGGAGAGCGCTGGAAGACCCTCCGGCGATTTTCTCTGGCCACCATGAGGGACTTTGGGATGGGCAAGCGGAGCGTGGAGGAGCGGATCCAAGAGGAGGCTCAGTGTCTGGTGGAAGAGCTGCGGAAATCCCAGGGTGAGCTTGGGAGAGAGGGAAGACAGGGAAAGAGAGAGGGATGTGGGGGTGCATAGCAACAGAAAGACAGGGCTACCTACCTGGACAGATGACAGAGAGATGGGAAAAGATGGCTCTCAAAGACTTAGAGGGAGAAATAGGGGGCTAGGGATCGACAGAGATGGGTAGGAGGAAAGCACAGAGCTGGGGAGAGACAGGACGTCTACGGGATGCCAGGAAATAACTGGAAGACATATGCTCTTAGCTTGTATTCCAGGGAAGCAGTGCATGGATGAACACGATACACTGCAACACAATAACTCCTGGGAAGGGCCATCCAGTAGATTCCAACCCATAGCAACCCCATGTGGCAGAGAAGCGCTTCCCCATGGGCCGGGCTGTATGGAAATGCATTGGCACGTGCTTGTCTCATCGGGTTGCTCAGTTGGTTGAGCGGCCAGCCTTTGGCACCGCTGCACCATTCGCACCACCAGGGCTTGCTATGACATCACATGGTATAGAATGATATATTATGTCTATCAGGAAAGCAAGGAGGAAAGGAACAATGGGCACACGTGTTGGGCAGAGTCAACCGAACTCTGCTTTCCTTGGCTGAGCAGCTGATGAGCCGGCCGGGAGCAGAGCCAGTTGGGCAGTGGAAGGGCCCTGAAGGAATTGCTTTTGGCTGTTTCTGGATTCTCCAGAAGAGCTCAGGGGTTCAGCGGGGACAGCTAGAGGACTGCAACTCTGTGAGCGTCTCCATCTCCTTTATTTTCAATCTTTACCACTTTCTTTATTTAAATCTGATCCTGCCACACCGAGGCAAAGCCCTTGGCGGGTGCAGCTGAACAGCAAGGGAATGGAGCAGCGAGGTCCCCAGGGAATGCTGAAGGTGGACTTTGAGGCCAGGGTGTGGTGCCCCAACAGACTGGATTGGAAAACACTCCTAAAGGCCAACAAACGATCCTTGAATTAACTACAAACTTTTCTTTCTTCTTGTGTTTTTTTCTTTTGTCATTGGTTTTTCTGTATATTGTTGCTTGGTTTTGCTCTGTCTTGTTTTTGTGCATGTTATTATCTCCGCGGGTCTGTCTAAATAAGATAGGCTGAATGAACAATCTGGAGGAGAAAACAATGGACCAACAGTCCCGGGGGGGACATAGGAGAGGGGGAGGTGAGGGGAAAGGAAGTGGTGTTAGCAAACCCAGGGACAAGGGAACAAGTGATCCAAATCGGTGTGAGAGGCCTGGTAGGGCATGAGCAAGGTCAATGTAACTAAGGGGAATTGCTGAAACCCTGGTGGGGACTGAGTATGATAGTGGGATAGGAGGAAAGTCAAGGGAAATAGAGGAAAGAGCATTTATAGATGTCTAGATAAAGACATGTACATATGCAAATATATTTATATATGAGGATGGGGAAATAGATCTATGTGCATATATTATTAGGTAGCAGAAGGACATTGGGCCTCCACTCAAGTACTCCCTCAATGCAAGAATACTTTCTTCTATTAAATTGGCATTCTATTGTAGTATTAAATAAAAAATGACGCTGAGGGAGGTGGGGGGACCAGCCCCCACCCGCTGCTTGAACTCACTGGTTCAGTAATACTACTTCTGGGTTCAGTAATGCACAATTGTACGGTTGAGATATATAAATATTATATTAAAGTCATCGAGAGCATGAGAGATAATACAATAATAGAGCCAGACATATTACATGGTAACATTGCTCACCTCCGCCCGCTTGGTGGTCCTCGTGGGGGGAACCCGGCTGCCAGAGCAGGAGCCGCCTCCCTCGTGGGAGCTGCCCTCTCGTCCACC